ACCTGGACCTCCTGCGGCTCTACCGGTTCGCCCTCAGAAAGCCTGGCTTACACCATCGCCTGACTGGACACCTGGAGATGGCATGTTTGATGTCAATCAGCTCTACAACTTTAGCCTGCCCATGACCGTTGCCAACACTCCGCATGGCAACCTGCGCGACATGTCAGGCATGGATATTCGTGACGTTCGCCTGGTTCAGGTTATTCATGGGGGCCTCACCAACTGGCTACTCCGACCGTTCGCTCACGGCAGATTCGTGACGTGGGAAGGCTTTCGCACTCGCACCGAGGCCTTACTTTGGAGTACCTGTTCCAAACTACTACGACGATCACAGTCGCTCAACCTGCTCACCCTGGAAAAGGACCTTGCCAACTCGCTGGGTCTCAACATCGATGACTTCAATCAGCGGATCAAGGTTCATGACCATTTGGCCAGCTTGGTACTTCAATTTCTTCAGCAACATCACACCTCTCTCACACCTTCCACCCAGACAGATGACATGGTCAAGAAGCACAATGATCTAAATCGTGCGCATGAACTGCTCCAAGCTCAGTATTCAGCATCGCTGCGTGCTTCGACCTCTCCCACGATGGCAAGCCAGAAAGATGATGCAGAGTTGGTTACACCGCCACCGGTCAACCACACACCATCCTCGTCACCTGCCAGCTCCCTTCCTACAGCCAGCGCAGCGGCCCTTGACGGCAAGTCGTTTGATAGCGCGGTGCAACCTCGGATCATTCAGTCTCTTCACGGAGTGTCGTCACCGCCGTCCAAGCCGGCGGCGTCACAGTTGCTCACCATGCACAGCACGCCGGATGAAGTTGTCAAGTACTACACATGGACCAGTGACCAGCCTCGCCTTTATCTCAAGCAATCGCCCACAACCACGACTTTGGCGTCACTGGTCAAGTGGGCCAATCACCCGTCCCGGCTCAACGGCAACAAGTCATTGGATTCCATGGCGACGCAGCTCCTTCAAGCGCGTCAACGCATGCCGAAAGGCGACGCACCTACTCTCGGGGCGATGGCGGCTTCGTGGGGACTGGAGCCCGGCTATCTTACCAAGCTCACTGAGAAGGCATTGAGTCACCTCATCGTGACCGCTCGCCTACTCAGCGGATGAGCAGGCATCTTAACGACCTTCGTTCTCTTATGAGCCCGGAGCGGCAACCATGTCACGGATGAGTCAAGGTTAAAACTCGTCCGTCATCTTTCTGCGTTGCACTAGTTTGATCTTGTGCTTGATTGTTCTTGCATTGCCTTGTGTGTGATTTTCTGTGCAGCTTGTATCCATGTCGCCGCCTTATGGTAGATTTCATTGGTTGCATTTTCACCATGTTGGATGAGCTTCGCCGCTGTGGAATCTATGATGATGTTGCACAATGGCAGTCTCTAGACAACCTTCTACACTCGTTGACCATGTTCTCTACGTGCTGGCAATACTGCTTCCCTGGACTACCACCACCGTCGATACCAACTGATGAGTACGAATCAATCACACAACTACCGTGGTTGGGCCTCATTCTCGAAGTCTTAGTTGTGGTCCGGATTGCCCTTCAGATTCCGAATCACGCTATGTCACACTCTCAGCACACTGTGGCCAACAGGTATGAGATTCATAGATGTCGGTGCACTGCCTATTTATTGATCAGTTTCTTACAACGTCTCATTTCCCAAGATCATGGCTACTTTCCGCCGTTCTTTGAAGTCCTTCACTTCTACAAGGCTTCTCTCTTGTGTGAGATCATGCACTCCACTTTTGCCGACACGCGACCTCTTCGCTCATTGCGGGCACGATTTCCTGACCTCTATGACTTCATCCACGATCCAGGTCATCATCAACAACCGTGCGTCTACATCCGACTTTCCCCATGGCACACACCTTACTACGTTGGTGCGACTGATCAGGATGTTCTACGACGTGAACACTCACGCAGTCGCAAATTTCTACAACTACTTCGAGGACGTCATGCCTTCTTCGAACCCGCGCTTCACTACTGGAAGCGATCCAATACTTACTGGCTCTTCTGTGCCGTTCCGGTTGAGATCAAACTTCCCGTTTCCTCGGTTTGGGTCCAAGAAAGCAAATGGCAATACTTGCTACGCCCGCATTTGAATGCACCCTGGGTACACAGACTTTTGCGAAAGGTAGGCTTCCGTGAACACCTCGTTGATTTTCGACGTCACTCGTTGTCGTCTCCCACTTCCCTCGGCTTGCACAAACGCTTTCGACGACGACTACATCCGGATCGCCAACGGCAACTACGACCCGACATGCTGGATGACATTCAGGCCCATTACTCTATTCTCTATCAGCTGGGATCCAATACAGGAGCATCGTTCCAAGCCATGCGTGACCTACTGTCAGCAGCTTTCCCTCCTACTCAGCTGTACTACTTTCTGCGGCTCTCCGTCTTTGTCAACGAGCCCTTCCGCTCCAAGGCGCAGAAACTCCTCGCCCAGGTGTTACGCAAACGACGGCTACAACCACCCACCACTTTGACACAACTACTCCTACCGCCTCTGCATGTCCGAAATTGGAAAGCTCTACTTGGCACATGGTTACAAAGCTGGATTGCT